GACCTAGATTTCTTTTCTTTTTTTAAACATTTATTTATTATGTATTTATTTAGTTAATTTATTTCTGGCTGCACTGGGTCCTAGTTGCGGCACGCGGGATCTTCATTGAGGCACGCGGGATCTTTCGTTGCGGCACGGGCTCTTTGTTGTGGTGCGCGGGCTTCTCTCTAGTTGTGGCGTGTGGGTGTTCTCTAGTTGTGGCATGTGGGCTCCAAGGCACGTGGGCTCTGTAGTTTGTGGCACGGAGGCTCTAGTTGAGGTGCGCGAGCTCAGCAGTTGTGGCACGCAGGCTTAGTTGCCCCACGGCACGTGGGATCTTAGTTCCCTGATCATTGACCTAGATTTCTACATGGCTTATACCCTGTCTTCATTCAGGCCTTAACTTCTGGTGGCCTCTCTGAAATTGTGCTCTTGACAGTCCTATCTTGTGTGTGTGTCTCCATGGCACTTGCCACTATTGAATATGATACTATTTGTTTTTATTTACCTGTCTCCCCTATTAGAATATAAGCACCACGGGGGGTAGAAATTTTTTTCTATTTGTATTCCCAGGTCTTGCTTGGCGTACAACAGGCATTCAATAATCTTTTTATTGTTGTGTAAATAAATGAACTCAAAGGATTATGAGCCTTAAGGGTTAGACAGGCAGGACTGTTATAGCCAGAAGGGGGCAGCAAAGACCTACCCAGTGTGGATGAAAGGTTGGGGGTGGGGAAAGCCTGGGCACATGCTGTGTGACCTCCAGCGAGTTCCTTAACCTCTCTGAGCCTGTTTCTTCCTGTAGGACTGGTTATTGGGGGAGATCAAATGTGCTGGTATAGGAAGGCTTGGTAATCAGCAAATCATCAGCATGACGTGGATGTTAGGTATCCACGGTGTGAGAAGTTGCCCCAATGTCCATTCTCGGGCGACAGGGCTGTTATATAACTATGATGCACCCTGATGACAGACCATTGTAAAGTGTTTTAAAGACATGGGGAAATGCTTATGCTTAAGTGTGTGTGTATGTAAATCTACGGAAAGGACGAGATATACAATTAATAAGCTTGGGGAAAAATCTGGAAGAAATGTATCATCGTAAAAATAAACAGCCATCTGGGCAGTGAGATCTCTATATTTTCCAGATTTCCACCACGGGTATGTATTCGTGTTTCCCGACCTACTAGAATGTTCTACGGCTGTTGCTACACCAGCTACCTGGGCGGAGGGCCTCTCCTTCCTTAGTCACCACTGATCTTTCCCAACATATCATGAACAGCCCCCTTTGCTGTCCTGGGTTTACACAGCCTCGGGCCCCTCTGGGTCTGGGGAGAGACCCACCTTGACTTGGTGCTGCTGAGGGCAGAGACTGTCCCCAGCCACCTGCCTCTCTGGCCCTGGCCCAGTGTCCCTAATTTAACTCAGTGCTGCTGCAAGCAGGTGGGTGAAGTGGGGAGCAGCCTGGCCAGGTGGCAAGGAGCTTCCAGTGGTGCGCACCTCGCCCAGGCCTCACTCACTCAGGCCCCTGGGATTGAGCCTGGTTTAGTCAGACACCCGCTCTGTGCCCCCACTTAGGCTGTGCCCTGTGTTAGAACCACACACCCTTATGCTCAACTCCAAGGCTCAGCTTAATGTCACCTCCTCCAGGAAGCCTTCCCGACCTCCAGGAATAACAGTAGCAACTGCCAACCCCACTGGCTGAGCCCTTCCTATCACAGCTGGCCCAGGGCTGAGGGCTTCACAAACATCTCTCAAGCATCAGCAGGGGAAAACCGTCCTCCATGGCTCACCCACCAATGCCCACCATTCATTCATTCAGATCACCCGGGGAGGCAGATATGACCATCTCCATCTCACCGATGAGGAAGTGAAGGCTCGGAGATGTGAAATAATGACCCCAGAGTCACAGGGTTAGTAAGAGGCGTCTGGGGTTTCAACCTGGGTCTGTCTGAGCACCAGCCTGTGCTCTCCCATGGCCCCCACACCACCTCGGCCCCCAATCCCAAAGCACATCATCTGCCACCCCTCCACGCGCACAGCTACAGCCTACATTTCTCCAGGCTACGGCACCTGCCAACGTTCCGCCTTCCCCAGAGACCTGACCTGACCTGCTCCAATTCACCTCGGAACCCCAGGAGCTGGCCCGCATCAGGCTTCAGCGACTGTCTAATGGACAGTTTGGGAACAGCCCTTTCTGGGGCAGGAACAGCACCCAGCGACCTCTGGTGAACCCTTGGAGGCCCCTGTGAGTCTGGACACCTTCCCAGCCCAGCGTGACAAATGGCGTTAGGAAGCACACAGCTGGCCTGCCAGCCCATCTGCCCCGGTCCCTCCAGGCTGACACCCGGCCCAGAGCGCCAATGCCTGGAAAGGCGCTGGCAGTTCCATCCCTGAGGCCTGGGGCCAGGGCCAGGTGCCCATCTCTTCTAGGCAGCCTGCCACCCTCTCCCATACCACGTGGGCAGAGAAAGCATTTCCAAGGGCCCTCTCTGCACACAGAGGGGCCACAGGGAAGGCCGATGGGTGGGTGGGCAGACTGGCACAGAGAAATGGGGGGGCGGATGGCCACCCTGGGGTGATGGCTGAGATTCAAGAAGCTGTTCGAACAGGAAGATGAGCTGTCGAGCCCCCCTTGCCGGACGGCGAGCCATGGCCAGTGGAAGAGGTCACCCCCGCAGAAGGGGGAGATGGCTGCTGGCTGCCTCTGCCCCACAGTGTTTCTCCCCAAAGCCCGACACTCTGCTATTTGGTGGCTGCTCTGAATTACGTGCCGCCCGCCTGGCATCAGTGGGCCTCCCTGACGGAGCAGGGAGCCAGGTGTGAACCAACACTGCCTCCACTACAGGCTGGGCGTCCAAGGCAAGTCACTGAAGTTCCCTTGGCCTCAGTTTCTTCATCCGTAAAAAGGGGACAAAAAAAGGTGATATGCAAAGTGCTGAACTCACAGCCCAGCATACGATCACGTGTATTTCTTGCTTTTCAAACTCGTTAAAATATGTGCATAGCCCTGGAGCAGCTATATTTTCAGGCCTCCATGGGGCCCTTCCTTCTGGGTAGGAGGGGCTGGGGATCACAGGGTGTGCAGGGGGAGGCCGACAGACTGCCTCGCCGTGTTTCTCCTCTCCGTCAGCAAAGGGAGGCCCGACCATCCTTCCTGCGGGCGCTCATGGGAAGAGGACGGACACTGCCTGGCTCTGACACCAACCTGGGCAGAAAGTGAAGTCGGGATGGGCAGTGGCTTGAAGCTGACTCAGTGGCACAGGGCTGACAGGGTCACGGGGCCCCTGCTGCGGGGCAGGCGAGCGGACCACAGGCCGCCCACCACGGTCCTGCAGCAAGGCAGGTCCACAGAGGGCTGAGTGGCCTGTCACAGAGCAGGGATGGGCCAGGGGCCCCAGGTGGCACCAGGGGATGTGTGTCCTGCCCCCCATGGCCGATGAGAAGAGGGTCCCCAGGGCTGTGATGTTCTCACGAGCACCTGAGCCCTCGTACCCTTGTTCTGTCCTGCAGCCCCCAGAAGCACAGGCCTACCTGTCCACGGGGGCAAAGTGCTACAGATCACGGGCCTAGAGGCCGGCCGTGTGACGTGGGCACATTGCGGAAACGCGAGCCTCAGTTTCCCCCTGAAGGTCAGGCTCTGGCGCCAGCCTCACAGGTGTGAGGAGTAAACGAGATGGCTCCTCTGCCTGTAACCACGGAACCCAGACCACTGCCCAGCCCTAGGAGGAAGGACCTCCGGAAACGTGTAAAATGGGCCCACGTGAAGCGCTCAGCACAGGGTCTGACACCCAGTAATCTCTTGGCAAGGTTCCCGCCGGGGCCGCCACTGCTGCGCTTGGCTGCTCTTCCCTTCACCATCTCTACCTTACTAACATCATCTGACGGCTTTCACACCTCTGAGAGTTCTGGAAAAACACCTAGGGCGTAGGCCCTGGACCCCTGCTGCTTCCCCAGCTGACCACCTGCCTCTCCCTCCCTCTCCCCCCGGCCCTCCAAGTACTGCTCTCCCCTGAGGCCCCGCGAGGGCCTTCCCCTCCAGGACACCCTCCCAAGCACCACTTGCTCTGTTCCTCCTCCCTGGGGTCCCTGCCGCCCGACGGCAGCTGCCACACTGCTACCACCCTCAGTGAGTCTGGCCCCCCTCCAGGTCGCCCCTTCCCCAGAAGCCCACTAAGCCAGGCCTGGGCGCAAGGAGTGAACAGCTATAGGTGGCAGGGTCAGGGCACACGGAGGTGGGTGAGGAGTGAAGTGGATGTGACCGCGACTGTGAAATTGGATTCCTGTCCTGCAGGCTTTCTCTGTCCCCAGCGCAGCCTCCCCAAGGGCCCAGGGCTGCCAGTGACTCCGCGCGGGAGCAGTGGAGAGGCGGCAGAACTCCTCCCCGTGTCTCCACGCGCAGGCTCTGGGATCTGCGTATGCAGCTGCCTCCGTGGAGGCCCGGCCAGCCCTGAGTGCTGACCAGGTGGTCATGTCACCCCCCCACAGGGACAGCCCCTGCTCATTCAGGGCTTGAGAGGGCCAGGACATAGCCTGGGGGACGGTGGGGAGGGTGCTGGATGCCTTGAAATGGGGCCAGGAGAGGCATTTTACGAAGCGGGTAAGCACTCACCCACATCCCCCCGCCAAACTCGCAGGTTCCCCTGCAGACACCCCTCCCTCTGAGGTTAGGAAGCCACCCCCATCAACCTCATCTGCTCACCAAGGCCCCTGCATTAGGGAAAGCGGGGGGCACTGACCCGGCCAGGCCCCTCCCTCCTGAACCCCCATCCCAGGCTTAGAAGTCACCAGTGCCACCCCACCGCCCCTTTCTCTGTCCCAGGAACCGGGGCCAGGTTCCAGCTTGGCCTTCCTCCTCTCTGCTGGGGCCAGAGCCCAGGGAGGCGGGACAACAGAAGGGCGGGGGCTCCCGCTCCAGGGCCCTGGAACCGGTGCCCCACGGTGAGCTCCACTCTGGCCTCTGGCCCCCAGCACCATGGCCCACCCCCATGCCAAGTGGCCCCCCCGTAGCCAGCGCCTCTTACCAGGCTTTGGGATGAGTCCTTGAAAAGGCCTGGAAGAGAAACAGAGATGGGGGTGTCAGGGGAGGGCCTGGGAGCTTGTGCGGAATGCGTGGGACCCACCCCAGACCCGCTGAAGCAGAATCTGTATTTTAACAAGATGCCCGGTGCTTCGTGCACACGGGACCCTGGGGACCCTGGGACGATGCGGCACCACCGCTGTGCACCAGGCCAAGCAGGGTCTCCCGCTGGCTCTGCCCTGCTGGCTCCACGCCTCTTCCAGGGGATGAGGGAGTGCAGTGAGCAGGTGCCGCAGCAGGTAGACGGGGGCCCTTGAAGGCTGCCCCCGCTGTGGTGGCTGGGGGGCGGGGGAGCTAGTCTCACTTCTGTGGGGCTCCCTGCACCCTGGCTGGCCTGCAGTCCCCCTTCCTCCAACCCCCAGGGCCCAGGGTGGTGCTGGAAGAGCTGCCTTGTCCATGGAGGGCAGGTCCACCCGAAGGAAAGGCCAAGGGTCTGTGGTGCAAGCCCCCTCCAGTGGTAGCCTCGCCTCCTCGCTGCTTCCCTTCCCCTGAGTACCTGGTGACGGTCGCCTCCTCGCTGCGTCCCTTCCCCCGAGTACCTGGTGACGGTGAACTTGATCTTGTCGGCCACCGCGAGGATCCTCTCCAGATTCTGGGAGCCAAAGGTGCAGGGCTTTCGGAAAGGGATCCCGGGAGGCAGCCCCTCGATGATCACCGAGCCGGGGTTACTCTTGATCCTCTTGTAGGGGACCTGGACCGGGTACTTGATGCCCAAGGCTTCCCCTGCGGACGAGAGGGACAGAGGAGGTGTCACCAGGAGCCAGAGGCGGGGCTGGTGGGTTGTTGGCAGCCAGGGGGTGCTCCGTGCACAAGTGTGATACACTCCGTGCACAGTGGGGTACGGTGGGGGGCTGTCGTGTAGCCCTGCAGAAAGGCACAGTCAGTGATGGACTGGGAAGCAGGGGCCCTAGGGGGTCGGGGGTGTGGGCGTGTGCCCAGGGCAGGCTGAGGAGTGGCCAGGGGACGTGTGGCTATGGCTGCTGGGAGAGGGCAGTGGCTAATGTCAGAGGCCTCACAGCTTGAGAATCTGAAAGCCGTCTCAAGGATGGTACCTGGTGGGCACAGCTGGCCCTTCCCTACAACGATCCTCCATCAGTCCCACAGGCTCTGCCTCACCCTGGTTCAGGATCGGCCTGGCCTAAAAGGGCAGATCGCGTCTGGGAGCAGGGAGGCCAGCCAGGGTGCGGCTCAGACCTCAGGGCTCTCTTTCCACATGTGGGGCTCGGCCTCATTCCTGTCGCCAATCCCCTCTGCAGAGGGCTGTGGCATGTCCATCCCAGGGACTGTGCTTTGTCTCACAGCCTGGGAGCGGCCCTGAGTCCACTGCTGATCCACTCTGGGCCAAGGCCTGCTGCCTGCTGTCAGGCTGATGTGAACGTCCATGGCTCTCTGACTTAGGTGGGGTGCACCATGGGAGCCCCCTCCTGGACGGAGGGCTGGGCACTCCTCAGTGTCACAGGATGCCCCTTTACAAAGATGTGCTGCAGAAATCTTCACACTAGGAGAAGTAGCTGAACTTTTTCTGGGCAATAAACTAATTTTTATCTCGCGGACACTGGGAATGGTATAACTGGCCTCATTTCCCTTTTTGCTCTGGCTCCTGGGAAACTCAGAGCTTGATGCATGCCCTGCATCTAGCAAGTACAGAATGGCTGAGTCTTCACGTCACCCCTGGCTTCGTGCCATTGCTTCAGCTTGTTTGTTTGGCTTTATTTAATTGAGATGTAATCCACGTACCATTAACACTTACCATCTTAAACAATCCAGTGGTTTCTGGCGTACTCAGGAGGTTGTGAAGTCATCACCACTATCTAACTCCAGAGCGTTTTCATCACCCCGAAAAGAAACCCCATCCCCATTAGCAGTCACACCTCACTCCTTCCCTCTGTGCCCTGGCAGCCAAACCAATCCACTTTCTGTTTCTATGCATTTCCAGCCTGTTTTAAATTCTTTATCCTGACTTTGTTGCAGACAGAAATGTACTTACACCCATAATCCATGAATGGGAACACTGCCATCTCTACTTCCTCACTCCTTGCCCCGAAAAGGGCTCTTGCTAAAATGACTGACGGCCTCTGTGTTGCCCAGCCCAGAAGATATTTGCTCTCTTTTGGCAAAATCCAACACCTTGGTGTCCATGATTCCTGGTTTCCCCTTTCTGGCCACTCCTCCCCTTCCTGGACTTGACCTCCTTAAACACAGGGCTCCTTGGCTTTCTGCATGGGTCCTCTTTCTGCTCTCTTTGCACCCCTGGGGGTGTCTCCTCTGCTGCTATGGTCTAATTTTTGCATCCAATCCAGACACCTCTCCTGAACAGCAGACTTGTCTCTCTGCCTGCCTATGAGACATCTCCACTCACCCTTCAGACTCAACACATCCAAATGGAACCCATCATCTCCCTTCTTCAAACTTCCCCGCTCAGCGAGGGCACTGCCCCTTCTCCCTGGCTGGCAGTTTGGGTATCCACTTGTCTCTGGCAGCTCTGTGCTCCCCGCTCCTCCCCCTTGTCACGGTGACAGGTCTGGGTGACCCAGGCCTAAGCTGATGAGCACGTCGCATTTCTCTGCCATAGGGATTGGGTAAAGACTGGACATGTGACTCAGTGGGGATCAATGAGAAACAGGGGAGGGCCCAAGGAATTCTGGGAAACTATCAGGCTTTCCTGAGAAAGCCTGTGGAAAAGCCAGCTCTCTCCCTGGATGGGATGTCTGGACCTGCCGTGGTCATTCTGCTAGCAAGCAGGACGTCAGCCTGAGATGATTCTGACACAGTGGAAGGACACCAAGTTCATTCCCTGAGCTGCTGGATCCAGCTAATCCTGAAAGCCACCCTACTGCTGGATTTCCTGAGTTATGGCTAATTGTACTGTCCAAAGACAGCGGCACCAATCTTTCTCCCATCCCACATGCTCCTCTTACAGTGTAATATCAACACTCCCCATAGAGAATGGGGTCTATATCCCCTCCTCTTACGCTAGGGTGGAACTTTGTAACTGCCTTGACCAATGCAGTACGGCAGAGGGGACACTGCACAACCTCTGAGGCTGGGTCATAAAAGGCAACATGGCTTCCACCTGGCTCTCTCTCTCAGGACACTCAGGAGCCCCGACCAACAAACAGGAAATCCAGCTACCATGGAGCTGCTATGCCAGAAAGCCCACGTAGAGGGGTCACACAGAAACTGAGAAAGATGCTTGAGGGGCCCAGCTGTTCCAGCACCAGCTCTTTCCCCAGCCCAGGCGTCAGACATGTGAGTGAGGATGCCGTCCAGATGACCCCAGCTTCATCCGCCTTCTGCCTGCAACCCCGGGACAGGCCGTGAGTGACAGCTCCCCAGCTCAGCTTGCTCCCAAAGTCCTGACTCGCTGACACCCTCAGAGATAATACATGATCATGGCTATTCTAGGCAACCACGTTTTAGGGTGATCTGTTGTGAAGCCATAGTAACTGAATCATCAGCCAATTAACCCCCTTAATGGTTGAAGCCAGTTTGTTTTTGTTACTTGAGACCAAAAAGCACCTTAACAGATACAGCTTGTCCTCCTCGAGGCAGGATACAGCTGGATGCCTCCACTCCTCCCGCTGCCCCGTCAATCTGCGCCTGTGGTTCTCCCTCTGAAGCACATCTCACTCCATCCGGTTTCCTGCAGCAACCCGGCCAGGGCCCGCCCAAGCCATCATCACTCTCGCCTAAATACTGCTCCAGCCTCTGGGCTGGTCTCCCAGTGTCCACTCCCACCCTCCCACAGCCACTCACTTTCCTCACAGCAGCCAGGGAGACACTTTAAAAGTGCAAAGCTGCTCCATTTACTTCAATCCTCCCAAAATACAAACCCGATATCATGGTTCCCTCCAAGGCCCTGGACAATTGGATCTGTCTTCTGGCCAGCTCCACAGGGCCCTCCTCTGCCCCAGTGCCTGCACTTATGCTTTGGCTTTTGGCTCCTTCTTATATCTATCTATCTACCTACATATATATACATATATATATGTGTGTGTATATATATATATATATATATATATATATATATATATATATATTTTTTTTTTTTTGTGGTACGCGGGCCTCTCCCTGTTGTGGCCTCTCCCATTGCAGAGCACGGGCTCCAGACGGGCAGGCCCAGCAGCCATGGCTCACGGGCCCAGCCGCTCTGCGGCATGTGGGATCTTCCTGGACCGGGGCAAGAACCCATGTCCC